CTAGTTTGTTATCAAATCTATTTTTTATTCTTCTAAACGGAGAAGAAGAATTCACCTCCCCATCTCCTCCTTGCTCTGATTCCTCTCCCATTTCTTGGTATTAAAACATGTCTAAGATAAAATCTAATAAGAGATAATAAGAGTTTGATGTTTCAATTCAGTTAAAGTTTATCTTTATTATTAAAATCTATTTATTGTACAAAAGCATGTTGATATACGTTGAGCATTTCGATAAATTGATTATATTTTCAACTAGCTGAAGAGCTCGGCGTTGCCCGTGGAAAAAAAAATATTTGAAAAATTTGAAAAAAAATATTTTTGATTTTTTTAGCCATGTGTCCACAAAAAAATTCAGCCCAATCGGTCCAGCCGTTTGGCCGGCTATACGCAACAAATGTATACAAATGTCTTGTTTAATTATATGTGATAATGTGTGATATATAGATTAACATATAAGGCATATAAACAGCACTTCACTAAAAACAGCCTTCTTTATACCAAAATTTGATATTCACACACATTTTTGGTAATTGTTATTTTAAACACAGTAAATAAAACAAGACAAAGGAATAAAAACGAAATATGGAAAAACTTAATTTCGAAGTATATCTTTACCTCCGACCCACACATGACGTCATACGTTTATAGCATGTGTTCTTCAATAGAATTCCACGGCTATATTTTTTTTTAAAATTCATTTTATACTAGTGGTCCAAAAAGTATTTTGAGATCGATTATTTATCATCAGCGGATGTCTAAACTAATGATGTATTCGGCTATAATTAGCATGACAAAAGTACATACTTTTTGCCGGAAGGGAAAACAGGTGTCCGGGTTGAAGTTTAAACGGGTGAGCGCATGAGGCAAACAGCGTCCTGTCCTAGTGAACGATTTTTGGACCCCCGGTCGTTTTGCTAGAATCTTGGTCAGCAGTTTGGATACGCAGCTTATTAGGGTTATTGGTCTATAATTACTGACATCCGTTTGCGGGGTGTTTTTCAGAACTAGAACTACGTCCCCCACTTTCCAGTCTGGTGGAACCAGCCCGCCCGCCATAATATTGTTGAACATATCTAGAATCATCTTCCTTGCCTGCAATCCGGTGTTTTTCAGCATCTCATTGGTGATCCCATCCTGTCCTTCGGCTTTATCTGATTGCAAGGAGTTTATAGTGTCGTCCAACTCTTTAGGTGTAACAGGTAACATCATTTCATGACTATTCGAATCAGAGAACGTTCTTTCTGGAACACCAAGATTCACTTCTGGGGCATTATCGTACTTCACTTCCTCCTGAACAAAAGTTGTGTTAAATTTCACTTGGAAAAACTGCTCTATTATTGTATTCAGTCTTCTTGGACATGTCACGACTCTCCCACCTTGGATCAATGCTTCTATGCTAGAGTTACCTCTTGGTTTCTTGTTGAGAATAGACCAGAAGAGTTTTTGTGCTCTTTTGGACTTTGAACTCAGAAGTGCCTTCATCCTCTTTTTCTTCCTCAGCGAATCATAGAAATGCTGTTTCCTAGCTTCGTCTGCTAACTCCCTTGCTTTCTTCCTCTGGATTTGGAATGCTGCTGAATACTGATTGTCCATGCGTTTGAGCGTTGCTCTCACTCTTTTCTTTTTCTCCAGGATATATCTTAAACGAGAACTTAAGAAACTTTCCTCTTTCTTGTTTTGATTCCCCGGGCATACCGAGGAACCCACCTTTTTCATCTGATCAACAATGAACCATTCCTGCTCTGTTACCGTCATCTCTTTAAAGGCAGCCTGTCTATTATCTAATCTGTCCTCTAGTATCTGTTTAAAGACGTCCCAATTCTTGATGTACCTTAAGCTATTCTTCGGCTTGATCACCGAGTNTGGGTCCAAAAATTCGTTCTTTAGGAATATACCGATCGACGAAGGTGTAACGTGGGTCGCAGCTTCCCCCAATCGCCTAAATTTTGTACTAATTTTTTTTTCATTTTATCTTTATTTGTGATACATTTTTGATTAAAATTTTCTACATTTCAGATGCTTGCCTACTGATGCATATAGAAATAAACGTTAATCAATCAATCAATCAACTCCAATCGCCGGATAAGGCGTATGTAAGGATTTTGTAACCATTTCTGCTGCACTCTGCACGTGCACTGGGACAACATATTTGCAAAACAACTATATTGGACTATAACTTATGGTAAATAATTACCCCAGTTAGTAAACAGCCACTGTTTTTAATAAAACTAGCCTATTCTTAAAGGTCTCAACGTTATCTTCAGAATTAGCTATTTGTTATTTGTTTTTATTATTTATATGATGAGCGAGGATGCCGCAAATTTTAGTCAAAACCTACTGATACATGCTACATCATCGGAACTAACCCTCATTAAAATATTGTTAAAATTTAAAAAATCTCCAGACATTAAAATTAAAGGTCATGTACAAAATTGATAGGAGAGGGGAGGGCCGGGAGGGGGGTCCAGAAATCGTATACTAGGACGGATCCCAATGTTTGAAAAGAAATTTCTGTATTGATGTAAATTTCGTTAAAAAGTTATAGTTCGGAACATCATTAGTTCTTGTGGTACACACATTGAAACGAAGACGACAAATTCAAGTATGATCAGGCGTGCAGCGGCATTTTCCTTTCAAAGCGCCAGATTTCGTTTTTGAGAAAAACACGACCGAAATCATCTAAGTTATGTTACGAGTAAAGTTGCATGTTTATTATGTACTAAAATACGATTTTTTCAATTAATACCCTTTTAATACTTTGGATTTTAAAGTCTTTATACTTTAATAGCGTATGTCAATTGATATTTAGTTGAGTTTATTTAAAATGCAAATCTCGACATTTGTTATACAGAAGAAAAATCTAAGACCAAAACTGGCATTTCTTAATGATTTTGACAATTTTTCATTTATTGTTGTGAACATAATTAACACTTCCTGGATGCAAATGTGCTGATAATTACGGGTTTGAATGTTGCAGTATTAGTGAAACTACTACACCATTTGTGAACCCCCCCCCCCCCACTATCTATCAATTAATAATGCACTGTAAAAGGTAATTAGGGTCCGTCCCAGTATACGATTTTCCCGGTAATTTCATAACATGCGATTGTTGGACCCCCCTCCCCCTCCTTTCGATTTTGTACATGGATCTTATATGTAAGACATGGATAAATTTGACCATGTGGCCTCAGGGCCCGGCCCCCTTACCTGTCCTAGCCGCGGTGATCAGTCCAGAAAGTGTCTTAACCTATCCAAACCCTTAAGATATACTAATTTTGATGTAAATTGTTACCGAAGGCCCGTCCTGGTCGCAGCGCTCAGCCCCCTAACCTGTCCTAGCCTCAGCAGAAATTGTCTTGACCTAATATAACCCTAAAAGAATAATAAATAATCGATAGTAAATTTGCTGAATAAATAAGTGGTTATGTATAAAATTGATAGAAGGGGGGGGGGTGGGGGGGGGGTTCTCAAATCGTATACTAGGACGGACCCGGAAGCCTAAACTTAGCTTAATCTAGGTTATGTCCATATTCGGAGGGAATTTTTTGCTGTTGACTTACTGAACCTAATTACCAAGTTAAGATTATGTTGTGATCATTATAAAACATTTCTATTAGTTTTCACGTTTTCATACACACCCTGGAAAGTAAATAAATTAGTTAAGCTTCCGCGCATTTTCTGGGACACCCTTTTCAATTGAAAACTGGACCAAACCATGGAGGGCAAAATGAAATAGATTTGCTCTTTAAAATTTACTATAAATATAATAATTTCTAAAGAGTAATATGCAACAAAAATTTTTTTTCCAAGAATGAGCGAAACGGCAGACGCGGCAGGGTCAAAAATAAAAATCGTAGCGAGCAAAAGTTTTGCATACATCTGAGCAATAACTAAATATGTGACCGATTTTTTATTTTTAATATGTCATCAGGTTGCTGAGTAATCTGGATGTTTGGCTGAGGTCTTCAAACCCCCGTTTTTTCCCCTTCAGTTTACACTATTTTGAGTCACCCTGTGTTTAAATATGACTAATCAAGTAGCACCATTGCATTTTTCGGTAATTTTCTGTTGTACGATTTTTGGACCCTTCCCCATTGGGGGGCTCCCTTCCTAACAATTTTGTACATGCATCTTATGTAACACATGAATATGAATGGTCGTGTGGCCGCAGCGCCCGGCCCTTAAGTCTTTCCTAGCCGTGGGGCTCGGCCCCTAGCCTGTCCTAGCCGCGCAGTCCGGCCTAGCCGCAGTGTTTGGCCCCCTTGCTTGTCCTAGCCGCAGCGCTCGGCCCAAATAGTGACTTAATCTATCCCTTTAATAACACTAAATAAATAATAATTTGCTGAACCTAGTCTGTCCTAGCCGTCGTGCTAATCCCCTTTACCTGTCCTAGTCGCAGCGCCGGCCCAGAAAGTGTCTTAATCAAACCCTAAATAATAAAAAATAAATAATGATAATTCGCTGAACCTAGTCTGTCCTAGCCGCAGGTATCGTCCCCCTTACCTATCCTAGCCGCAGCGCCCGGTCCAGAAAGTGTCCTAACCTAACCCTAAATATTTTTTTTAAAATAATAATTATGCTGAAAATTAGTTGGTCGTGTATAAAATTAATAGGCTAGGGGAGGGTCCAAAAATCGTTCAATAGGAAAGACTCCATTTTTCAAGGGTTTTTCAACTGAGTATATAGAACAGCCCTGTAGCTAAAAAAAATAATCTCCCCCCACACTGGAGGGCACAGTGCAATTTGTACTTGGGAGGATAGATGTAACACATGGTCGAAGTTGAAAACTGGCCGTGATGCTCGGCCCAGAGCCTACCTTAGTCGAAGCACTCAACTCAGAAAATGTCTTAACCTAGCCTTCAAATATTTTAGATCAGGGTCATTTAAATAAATGATAGGAAGAAGTATTTTTAAGACCAGAATATACGTAATTTAATATGGTTTTATGAATATATTCTTAACTCCTTTTGATTATTGCTATCATTTTGTTGTATTTCAGAGAAAAGATGAGTAAAATGGTGCTTGTCCGAAATGAGATAAAGGAATGGAGGGATAAGAAAGATAAAGAAATGAAAGAAAAAGATCCGAAGGAAAAGAAAGAGAAAAAGGGATGCATGTTAATCTTGTTATAATTTTGCTACAGCAGCAATCCGTTCTTTGGAATGATTTTCAAAGCTCTGTTGAAAAATTTAAAATTAGTCATCACAAAGAAAATTTTATTAATATTGTTACCCTAAATTTATTTTTGCCTATTATTCAATTATAATTAGCGATTAAAACCCCTAACGAAACTACACATTTACCTGACATGGGGGGGGATTTGAATGAGAATAAACACCCCTAGGTTAAATTATTTTAGGGTGCATATTTTTGCTGCCCTCCCTCTGTCGAAAATAATTTTTTTCTCAAACATTTTATATGTCTGTGCGGAGCAAATTTATGTTTTGGTTTTATTCACTGTTAAAGGGAGTGTTCGCGAAAAATGAAAGGGGGTATAGGCTTAATGCGATAAAAAAGCGCTTTTGATCGCTACTAATCTTACTTCTATCTGTTGCGTCTATAAGGATAAAATTGTTAAAGGCGTCTAATACCGAATAACTTAGCGGCCATACAACTTGAGAAAATTGCACCATACCACTTAGACCGTAAAAAAATCAATTTAATTTCAAACAAATCATTTAGATATTACAACCTATAGTCATCGATTATCTTTCGCCACATTTGTATATAGTTTATATTTTATAATATTTTATTTTTTAGAAAACGTTTTCAACGGATTTCAAAAATTGTGGGTGGTGTGCGGCATTCTTAGATAGTTGTGCAAGCGACAAGAGAAACAAACAAATTAATTTAAAAATATTATAAAATATAAACTATATACAAATGTGGCGAAAGATAATCGATGACTATAGGTTGTAATATCTGAATGATTTGTTTGAAATTAAATTGATTTTTTTACGGTCTAAGTAGTATGTTGCAATTTTCTCAATTTGTATGGCCGCTAAGTTATTCGGTATGAGACGTCTTTAACAATTTTCACCTTATAGACGCAACAGATAGAAGTCAGATTAGTAGCGATCAAAAGCGCTTTTTTATCGCACTAAGCCTATACCCCCTTTCATTTTTAGCGAATACTCCCTTTAAAAGGGGAAATAATTGATTTATAATGAGAAATCAATGAATTTTTGGTTTATAAGTATCTAAAGAGAATGAAAAAAATTAATGAAAGGGGTAAGAATACACCCATGAATTAGTTATTCGCTTTGGACTGATGATATATTATATGATTGATTAACATATTCTGGAACAGGAGAGAAAAGATGGGAAAGATAAAGATAAAGAGGACTCAGATGATGAGAAGAAAGCTGGATACAAAGCTAAAACTTTCACAGACATTCAAAGGATAAAATTAGAAAAGTAAGGATAATGTCGTACATTCAACTATCTAAAATGTATATTCAATTCACCCAAACTATTGGATGAGATTTCACAATAGTATTCTTAAAAGATTTGTCTTAGAAAAAATTGCGAAAATATTCTTCTTTTCTAACGTTCTATTGGTGTTCTATTGCAAATTTTATGATTGAAAGGGGTATTATTTTTATTAATTTCAGGGCGGGGTTGTTTCTGGAAAACTCCAGAAAAGGCAGCAAAACCTAAGACACGTCTAGGACAGCTGTGTTTGCGCAATTTGCATTGTTTTATTGCGGAATTTGTAATACTGATCAAATTACGATTATATGGGGAAAATAACATTTAAAAAATTATTATTGTTTATTATTACAGATTGATGGCGAATCCTGAGAAACCCGTTCATATTCCAGAACGGCCGAAGGAATGGAATCAATGTCTGATTAATGAATCTTTTTCGTCAATTTGTTCAAGTTCTAGAGCATTCCATTCATGACTTTAGAACCAAATGTGAGAACTTTTAATTTAAAAGGACAGAATTAGTTTAACTCATTCTGACTCGGCTAATCTCTGCGCGAGGAGAAAACCGGTTTAACTCATCCATTTTAACCGTTTACCCGCGCTTGGTTTTAAATTATGATTTTAGCTGAAGTGCCCGGCGTTGCCCGTGGAATTTTAAAAATTAATAAATTAATACTCAGTCAAATTGTTTCAGCCGTTTGGCCAAGAAATATACATGTATGCGAAGAGCCTTATTAGATAGAAAAATATCTTGGAACTGTTTCATGGAAAAGTATGGAAACAGCTCAAATATATGAATCCCGAGTCCTTTATAGTGATATTGATCCTGGGGTTGAGCAGGAGAAGAACGTGAACAAGGCCCCGGAGTTCAACCACAACATCATGGGGTCCAGCGCTGGGGCCGGGTCTGGGGAGTTCCATCTCTACCGGCAGATGAGAAGGAAGGAACAAAACAGAATGAAGGTAACAAATATTTCAAAATATTTAAATGGATCTCAAAAAAATTTAATTCAATTTTATCAGTTTTTGGATTTTTTCTGAAATGTTGTTCAATGTGAGGATAAAATTTAAAATGAAATATTTTAACTTAAAGGAAATGTCTTTTTAATGTGTGATTTACAACAGTACACTGCAAACCTTTATCTTTATCTTTGTCAGCAGAAATCCACACTTTACTAAATAATCGAATTTCATATAGAAAATTATGTATATCAATTACAATTTCAAATCGGGCCTGCACTCTATAAACTGAGGTTACGTAAAATTACAGATACTGTTCCTTTAATTTCGGATACAAGAAATTTAAAGGGAATTATCGCAAAAATTTAAGGGGGTTAGGCGGAACCCTAAAGGACCTCACTAGTCTCCTGGAGTTTGTAATAACTCTTGTAATAATAGAGATAAATGGTGCTAACTTTGCACCTATATTCTTTTAATCCATAAGGGGCATAAAACAGGGCTCCTCCTGCAAGCTGAATCTGTCCTTGTTAGGCTATTTTGTCATGGTCTAATATTCTGTCAGACCTAAAATCTTGAAAACAATAATGATACATCGGCAAAAAAATATTTATATATATAAATACCTGTTTTGGGCCAAATACCCCCCTTTCTACGCCCCTGATCAAGAAAAAAAAAATTGAAATTTTTTTATGCCCTTTATGGATTAAAAGAATATAGGTGTAAAGTTACCATTTATCTCTATTATTACAAGAGTTATTACAAACTCCAGGAGACTAGTGAAGGTCCTTTAGATTCAATCGCTAGTCATTGAATTCTATCTTTCTGCTGCGTCTATAAGGAGAAAATGGTTGAAAACGCATGTAAATTAACTTTTTCTTTTATTCCTCTTAAATCGAAAAAACTGATAGTTAAAAACTGATAATTAAGAATTACATTACATAAATTAGGGATATGATTCGGGGCATTTGAGTGTAGTTAACATATCATAATATTTTGACTTTTTATATGAAACGTTTGTTATCTTTGAGAATGTTTAATCCTGCCATACAGTGCTTATGATCCATTTTATTTGATGCGGATCCGGGATTCGCCTTAGTAAAAATGCAACTATGTGAAGCTTTACACGCTCTTGGGCTTGGATTTTTTGCGAACACTCCCTCTATCTTAACTCACCCGGGCGGGGGGGGGGGGCTGACTGAGCACGTCATGAGCAGATTAAATAATGAACTAACCTTAGAATTCTTACAATTAAGTTTCTTCGATTAAGATTAAGTTGCACTGTCTGTAACACTGTTGTCAATCAGTTATGGCATTTCTAAAATACATTTTCAAACGCCCTGTTTAGATACTGACCGCGAGGGCAGATAGAGATGAACTAAACGAAGCTTATCATTTGAAACTAGAGGAAAACGAAAAATTGGCGATGGAACGAACAGAAAAGAAACGGAAGAAGCGACAGAAGAAGAAAGGAAAAAAGAAGAAGGGAGAGAAGAAGAAAGAGGAGAAGGAGAGCAGTGATGAAGATGAGGATGAAGAAGAAGAGAAGGAGGAAGAAAAAGAACCAAGTGCTGAGTCCCAAAATACAAATACTGAACCTGAAAAGGCTCCAGCTGAACCAACCAGCCCTGAAAAGAAAAAGAAAGATATGGTTCTTGTATTTTACTCTTGATGTCATCATTGTTAAAAACCTTCATGTAAACAATATTTATAGATAACAAATTTTGAGAAAGATTTTTTCTGACGAACAATCAGAAGTATTCCCCCATCCTTCTTAATTCAAAAAATTTAAATGAACCACAAAATTGTTAGAAATATTCTATATATTTTCGAAAGTTTTTTTTAGATATATCAAGCTTAGAATGTTGTTTTATATCGTTTAGAAGTTTAACGCCCCATTTTCGTCAATGTTTATATCTTGAAAAGTTCTTTTTTGGAGTTAAAAAATTTTCTAATATTTTCAGAAGAAATATTTCTCTTGTTGAAAAACCTTCATCACGGACCAATGACATTCCCAGGGTAAGTAGTCAACTTTATATAGTTCAGGGGTTTAGATTTTCTTAATAAATCATTTATTTTTCCCATAAAGTGGCTGAATTGGGGAAAATCAATGTTTTTTTGAGAAACGAAAGAAAAGACTTGCTATATGTCAAATTTTTCACCCCCCCCCCTCCTCCGGATAATTTGATCATTTACCACCCTGATTCAATTAGAAATATTAAGTTCAAAAATGCGCGATCATTTTAAAATTTAGCGAATCTTTAACTCTCTCATGGAGTATCTCCTGGTGCCTGATATCAGGACTGTCCAAGTAATTTTAAGTTACCTCTTTGTATCAATTAATTTAACTACAGATTTGAGCTACATCTATATATATACATACATAGCTTGTCTGTCTTTCTGTTTGTATCCAATAAAGGTCAAAACGGCTGAACCGATCGGATCCAAATTTTGTTTGGTACCTCGCTTTACCCTAGTGAATTTTATGAATGACCAAAATTTCAAAAGTTTGTGTTTAAAAGTTTTTTAATTTTGCAAAATTTTGAAAATGCGCGAACAAATATTTTGAAATCCGCAAACTTTTGAAATAGAATATGGGCGCGAACTGCCCTAAAAGCCTAGTTGTATTAATACACATACTTTGCTTGGGTGTCTGTTTGTGTGTCTCTTCATTTTTATCCAATAACGTCAAAACAGCTAAACCGATCGGGTTCATTTTTTTGTGGGACCTCGCTTGTTTATGGATGATCGAATTTTCAATAATTTGCCTTTATCAAAATTCGTTTAAAATTTTTTGAAAATTCGCTACATTTTTAAGTTCAGATTCGCGAAATTTTTGTTCTGTTTTTGTTTTACAATGTGCACAAAGAGAACATGTTCATTAAATAGAAGATAGCCTAGTTAATTAAATGTTGCCAACTGTCTTATAATGTATCCCCGCTCCATAAACCGAAAATCACAATTGAAAATTTAATTCTCAGGTAGAAAAACAAGAATATCTTAATCAATTTTGGCCAGACGAAAAAAAATAGAGGCTTAGATATTGTGAAGACGATGTTGCATGTCTGTGTACAGTACAACAGTGGTGCCGCGTTTATTCCAATCCTTGTACCTCGCATTTATCCCACCTCTTTATCTCCAGACTTTACTAGCAACAATAACCCTGAACTTACATTTTATATTCTTACATTTCTTATTTTAACTATCTTACATTTGTTTTCTTACATTTCATATTTTTATCCATCTTACATTATATGTTCTTAAATTTCTTATTTTTATCCATTTTTCATTTTTTATTCTTACATTTCATAGTTCTATCCATCTTACATTTTATATTCTTACATTTAATATTTTTACATTTAATATTTCTATACATCTTACATTTTGTATTCTTACATTCATATTTCTATCCATCCACATTCTATATTCTTACATTTCATTTTCTCTCCATCCACATTTTATATTCTTACATTTCATATTTCTATTCATCCACATTTTGTATTCTTACATTTCATATTTCTTTCCATCTTACATTTTATATTCTTACATTTAATATTTTGTTCCATCTTACATTTTATATTCTTACATTTCATACTTCTTTCCCATCTTACATTTTATATTTTTACATTTCATATTTCTATCAATCTTCCATTTTATATTCTTACATTTCATATTTCTATCCCTCTTACATTTTATATTCTTACATTTCATATTTCTATCCATCTTACATTTTATATTCATATATTTCATATTTCTTTCCATCTTACATTTATATTCTTACATTTCTCATTTCTATCCATTCTACATTTTATTTTCTTACATTTCTCATTTCTATCCATTCTACATTTTATATTTTTACATTTCATATTTCTATCCATCTTACATTTTATATTCTTACATTTCATATTTTTATCCATCCCAGATGATATATTCTTATATTTCATATTATTATCCATCCTACATTATATGTTCTTACAATTCATACTTCTATCCATTCTACATTTTATATTTTTACATTTCATATTTCTATTCATCTTACATTTTATGTTCTTACATTTCTTATTTCTATCCATTCTAGATACCCCCCCCCCCCCCTTATTTTAGTCAATATTTTAGGGCCGGGGTATGGGGGGGGGCTGGACTTATGTCAGGTGGACAGAAAGGTTTGGGAGAAGAGGGTAAATGACCTTTAAGGATAACTGCGCTCCCCCCCTTCTCTTTCCCCGGGCCACGCAGCCCGACCCGGTCTTATTTCGTCATGTTTTGAAATCTGAACATTTCAATACGTTTTGGTCTGTTAATAGAGCTGAGCTGAGTGAGTCATGTCATTTCCATGTTTTACTCATAATTATTGTGTACACGTTACATTTATATTCTAACTCGTTATTTTTATCTTATATTATCTATGGGGGCAAAATTGGAAATTTATTTTAACATTTTAGGGAACGCATATATATTTGTCAGGACTGTCCCACTGGAAGTTTTTGTGGGAGGGGGGGCGTGGCTTCTAGCCCCATACCCCGTTACGACCCTGGTTTTCATGAAAAGTCTTAACGTTAGATTTTATAACATCGAAATTCTACATAAAACATTTTTACATTGACATTTGACATTTTACATTTTGTCCGTAAAGATTTATAGTTAGCCATATGACGACCCATAAAAATATAACATTTTCCTACATATATGATTCCTTTAATACAGCCAACTGTAAAGATTTATAGTTAGCCATATGACAACCCATAAAAATATAACATTTTCCTACATATATGATTCCTTTAATACAGCCAACTGTAAAGATTTATAGTTAGCCATATGACAACCCATAAAAATATAACATTTTCCTACATATATGATTCCTTTAATACAGCCAACTGTAAAGATTTATAGTTAGCCATATGACAACCCATAAAAATATAACATTTTCCTACATATATGATTCCTTTAATACAGCCAACTGTAAAGATTTATAGTTAGCCATATGAAAACCCATAAAAATATAATATTTTCCTACATAAATCATTCCTTTAATACAGCCAACTGTAAAAAAATATAGAAAATTGTTCTTAAAATGTCTGAAATTTATTTTTAAAATCTTGACTTAGACAATAATTTATTCAATTTCCAGATATATAAATTTTTAACTTATTCGCCAATGATGTTTTAATTAACGGTTAAGTGATATTTCCACAGATTTAAAGAAAGGTAAATATTATTTTACCAGATAAACTTTTTACTTTGAAAGTGAACAGTTTTGATTGTTCAAACCTTATAGGAACTGTTGACATAATTTTAAGTGACCCAAAATTCAAATCCCGATTCACAATGGTATCCTTCAGACTTCTGCCTGAGCAGTGAGCAGACATGATCAAGATATTCTTGTTTTCTATTGAGTATTTTCAATTTCTTTATAAGTAACTTGCAGTAGAGAAAAAAAAAAGATTCTTACACTTTTTACTATAGAATAATGGTAAGGGTACCGTTGTGAATATGGGGTACCAGTACAAACGTCGGACCCGCAAACGTCGGACGCTACAAATTTCGGAGAGTACAAACGTCAGACTTCCAAACGTTGGACTGGTACTAACTTCAGACTTACAAACGTCGGACTGGTACTGTCGTATAACCTTTAATATTTGAACCTATGAAATCTATTAGATCAAACAATTTAACTTTAATACCAAATTACCAGGTTGCAAAGGTATGTTTGAGTTAGTGACAATAACTGAGTTCCTATGGGTAGATTTTTATTAGACCAGTCGATAAAAGGAAATAAATTTTTAATAAAATTTGTTTGTTTTTTCCTTAGTCCGACGTTTTACTGGTCTGATGTTTGTACTGGTCCGATGTTTGTACTGTCCGACGGTTGTCCCATTCCAACGTTTGTACTGTCCGACGTTTATCCTGGTCCGACGTTTGTAAGTCTTAGTTTTGAACCGTCCAACGTTTGTACTGGTACCGAATATGGCATGCAAATCTTTAGATAAAGGATCTGTAGAAATTACGTCTAAAGTCCCTTTAAAATAACTATTTTCGAATCAAATCTGGTTAAAAAGTTGATTATTTACCTTCTCTTAAGTTCTTGTTAGTTTCTCTGTTATTATTTAAAGAATATACAATATCAGTTAGGTTAAACCCAACCCTACTCTCTAACACTAGAATTATATAATTTTCTTTTCAATATATTTCGCCAAAAACTTTGGCATCATCAGGAGTTCGTCCCTACTCTTTTGAAGAGTATTGAATGAGTTAGGTTAACTCAACAAAACCAAATCGACTAAATCAAAACTCCAGGATTCATGTCAGTGATGAAATAACTTCTCAATCGGTGGATCAACCCGCCCTATCCAAGCACTGAGCATATGTATCTTCATTTGCCTTCTTTACCCGTAAAAGGGGGACAAGGGTATTCAAAAGACTTCCTTGGTTCTGTGAAAAAAATCTGTACTTAAAAGTTTTGTTTTTGTCCCAAACTAAAATTTTCTCAAAAAAGGGACGGTACACACGATGTCAAGCAAATCATTGTAAATAATGACATATCTGATTCACAACGGTACCATTAAAAGCCCTGTCTGAATAAGAATTCTTTAAATATTCATTATCTTCTTTTTGAAAACTGATTATCTACTAGTTAGTATTCTTAATGGATGTTATTGTTAATATTGCAGGGAGGAGGAGGACCTAAACCAGATTTGGGAGCAGGAGCAGAATTGGGAGCAGATGATGGGAGCAGGAGGAGGAGGAGGTGCAGATCAACAACAAGACCAGGTTCACATTTTACCCGTCGAACTCCCCCCCCCCTCCGATCGGGCCTAATAATTTTGAGGCAACTCACATGACCCCAGGGAAAGTTTTTGGAATATGAATGCTCAGAATTTCAAATTTGTCTCCCCAAAAAAAATATGACTTTTTCACCGACAGAGCCACAGTTTAATATTGTAATAAAAGGCGCGAAGCGTCCTGAAAGCCTATTTTTACCAAAATATATTTTCATAATTAACCTTTGTCCTATAGGAATGAACAATAAATTCACAATTTGACTATGTTTTCTCATTTATCTGCTTCATTTCCATTTAATTTGGTGAATTATTTATTTCAGGGATCCTCCTTCCCTCCCTCCTTGTTTACTTGCAATAGAGAAGACAGTATCACCCCTGCAACTGTGGTAAGAAAAAATGTTATTTATATATTTAATTATTGAAAATTTGAAGAAATGCAAGTTAGCTTTTAAATGTAGTTGTTAATGTTAATTATTATAAAGATTTATTCACACACAAAGATAATGGTGTAGTTTAAATTTTTTTTTTACATATTTCGATTAAATAGTTTTTCAAAAGAAATAGACGACATTGATCAATGATCATTACTCATTACATAACATATTTATCATTTCAGTTATTAGATTTTAGATAAATTTTGAAAATGACTGTTAAAAGCAAAAACGTATTTTGGCCAAATAATTGCATCAATATGATCAAGGTACAGGGTTACACATAAAGAATGAAACAGTCAAAGACGACCTGAAACATCTCTGAATCTAATATTTGGATAATAATTGGAAAGATCACAGTTGCAGTGTTAATTTCGTTAAGTCGTTTCTGAGGTTTCATTCTTTGTGGGTAACCCTGTACTTACTAGGACTATAACATTACATGGGAGAGGAACAATTGAAACTTTATTCTGAAAAAAATTCTTCTCATGGTTTAATTATGTACAATTGTTTTTAGCGCGAAGCACACCACTGCACATTTTGGCCTATTTTCCTTGTAGCCAGAGAATCTTGTAACATACAACAGTTGAAAGAGATAACTTACTTTTGTGGGGTATTAATGAACTTGTCTATGTCTTGTTTTTTTTTGGTCCGGATGGGTTACTGGATAGTGGCTATACAGTGAGAACCAGAAAACTGTAGATTAGAAGTGGTCATTATAGTAAGATTTTTGTGTTTGATGTTACAAAGCAAATAATTTACTATTTATTAGTAATTTACTAAATCACTTATTAAGATTACAGAGTCTGTTTACACTGTAAAATTGTTGTGTCTCATGTTCATTGGACTATTGAAAGTCAAAACCTAGTCTAAAATTCGTCTTCCTATTGCAGAGTTTTCTGGTTCTCACTGTACGAAATAATAATAAAGATATAGAACTAAGATTGTATTTGTTTAGTTTGTGAATCCTAATGAAATTCACCAGTATAAACCCGAGCAGAGGGATCAAGATCATGATCAGCAACAGCTTCAACAGCAACATCAGGGGGTTCAAGAACATCAAGCTACTCAGTATTATCAACTCACACAAGCTCAGGGGCATCGCCAACATGTTCAGGGTTACCATCAGCAGCAGGGTCAGGGACACCAACAAGTCCATCTTCAAGGTGCTGATCAGCAAGATGAAGTTGTTGGTCCAAGAGGAGAGAGGTTTGGGAGTCTTGGTAACCTTCAGTTTACGATCATAGGTCAGACATTTTTGCTTAGAGTCGCAGTGCTTTGGATCTATTCAATTTTGATGCGGGTCCGGATCCTGGCCCTATTCAATTTTGATGCGGATCCGGATCCTGGATCTGCATTGGACCCAGGTCATGAACATTTATTCATGATTTACTGCTGATTTGAACAGAAGAAAAATTTTCAAATTAATTTTCTTACCTTTTTTTTACTTATCATTATGGAATAACTTGATGAACCATTCAGCGATTAGGCCCTTTTTGAATAATCTCTTTTTTCAATAATTCAGATTTGAGTTTTGGAAGCAAAACATTTTTTTTGCTGCAGATTTTGGTTGATATTTTGCCCTTGAATCCGGATCCGAGGATTCGCATATCTTTTCGGATCCGGATCAATGGAAGCCAAAACGTTGCGGATCCAACGGATCCGGATCCTAAGCACTGCTTAAAGGGACCTTCGACGAATTTTCAAGTGACCTCCTCTTATTAAAGGGTTTTTTAGTTGAGTTTTTTTTTCTCGTTTTTTAATCTAAATTTTTTTTAACCCATTTAAAATCTAAAAAACATATCCCAGTCACGTGATCGTGATATTAACTTGGAACAGTTAGGACCAAATAACCGTAAGATCATACAGTTGGGGTGGGGGGTACTTGGTCAAGGGGGGGGATATCTCATTTATGTTTACCAGCGAGTATAGACTATTACTCTGTTTATTCCCATAGAAATTGGGAAGTTAATATTAGAGAAATATGTTTTTAAACTAAACATTATGTTTTTGTTTAGAGGCTTCCAATCCCTCTAGACGTGGCTCGGTAGAAGAGCAAGTTATCTACACAGATACCTTTCCTGTATCAGACTCATCAGATCTGGTAGGTTGTTTCATATACAGGGTGTCCCAATAAACAGGATATTAAGTTATTTTTTTGTACACGGTGTTCCAATAAACATGGATATTAAGGTATTTTTTTGTACATGGTGTTCCACTAAACATGGATTTTAAATTATTTTTTGTACAGGGTGTTCCAATAAACAAGGATATTAAGTTATTTTTTGTACATTTTTTGTACATGGTGGTCCACTTAACATGGATATTAAGGTATTTTTTGTACAGGGTGTCCCAATATAAATGAATATTAAGTTATTTTTCCGTACATGGTGTCCCAATAAACATGAATATTAAGTTATTTTTTCGCTCAGGGTGTCTTAATAAACATGGATATTAAATTTTGTTTTCTGTGCAGGGTTTCCGAAAAAATATAGGTTTTATCGTATTTTCCTGTATTGTCCCAATGGAACTTGAATATTGAGCTGTTTTTCCTGTACAGGGTGTCCCAAAAACATGGGGTTTCCGTTAGTTTTTCTTTTTTGTGTGACAAAAGGAGTATGACCAATAAGTTAGTTTTTTGTACAGGGTGTCTCAATACATGGGTTTTGAGCTATGCTTGATTCCCATAGATTAAGTGAGCGCAATTTTTGTACAAGGTGTCCCAAAAACACGGTTTCCGTTATTTCTGTAGATGATGTATAAATATACATGTAAACGCAATTTATTTTGTACTGGGTGTTTCAATAAGCATTGGCATTTTTTCATCGTCATCATATTGACACTTGATATCTAACATTTTCTATCACTATCTGTAATATGAGGTGTTCCATTTTTGGTAGTTCAAACTTAGACAATTAATGATATCACAAAAAAGTACTTAACACATAAAAATATTGTTTTTATTTTGGAACTCTTAAGATCTTCATTTTAGGTTGAAGACAACAGTAACAGCAGCCATAGTTTTGTATATATGGATCAGGGGCACCAGCAGAACATCCAGGGGCACCAGCAGGGGGTCAGGGGGGACTTGGATCCTGATCAGGGAAACTCACAGCTGAAGGTCGATATTGTCCCAACCAAATCCGAGTATATTTGGCCAGATGAGACACCGTACATGACCACAGGTGACCTGGTGTACTGTATTAGTATTTTCTGGAAATTATTTAAAAAAAAAAATTTAACAAGAAAGGCATGTTTGTTTGCAGAACTTTAATTTTTTCAAAATAAAAATAAAGGATTTATAATGGAATATAATCACATTTGTGTGTATTAAGTAGCAAATGGATTTCATATTGGTAATATTTTTTAATAAAAATGCTTGCAACATTTCATACTTTCACCGTCAGTAAAATGATTGTTTTCAACTTTTTATTGATGAGGGATTGGGAAAGGGATAGGATTGTTTTTCTTCTCTAAATATCGGCAAGATGGGATGTGGTGACATCTGAACTTTTGTGAGTGAACCCATCGGTTGACAAAGGCTAAAATAATGATTTAATACCAAGCACGGGTAAACAGCTAGAGTAACTATATGAATTATAGTGTACAAAATCAGTAAAATGATTGTTTTCAACTTTTTATTGAGGAGGGACTGAGATAGGGATAGGGATTGTTTTACTTCTCTAAATATCGGAGAGATGGGAGGTGGTGACATCTGAACTTTTTGGAGTGAACCCATCGGTTGACAAAGGCTAAAATAATGATTTAATACCAAGCACGGGTTAAACAGCTAGAGTAACTCTATGAATTATAGTATTNGATTGCAAAAAGTTTTATTTTTTATATTTTTTTCCACGGGCAACGCCGTGCCCTTCAGATGTGCCTTGTTAAAGTGTTCTATTATTCAGGCAATGAACCTTCTCCTACCGGCCTAGATGTATCGACTAAAGGTTTTGCCGGAGTATATCAGTTCCAGGTATATTTTAATCTGAAATATTAAAGGGACTGTAAACGTATTTTCAAGTGACCCTCTGTGCAAAGATGACAATGCCTGATTCTCGAATGTATCCTTGAAACCTTTATCTGATCAATAACGTGTAAGATATTGTCGTTTTTCTACGTTTAAAAGTATTAAATAATGATATTTCTTAAATTCTTTCCTGTAGTAGACTTGCGCAAGTCACTTTTCAAAAGAAACCGCAATTGAAAACTAGCAGTTTCTATTTTTATAAACATTTATAATTTATATGAATTCATTCTGGACCAGGCTAAGCTTTTAAGGATACCGTTGTGAATTGTGCAGTGACATCTTTGCACGGATGGGGCACTTGAAACACAGCTTACAGTCTCTTAATTAATTCTTATGGTTAAAGAGATCTGAGATTGGAACTTTTGAATAGTAATTAATCCCTTCAGAAAGCACTTATCCGTTTCTTATGTAGTGCTCGGTAATCGCTTTAAATTATAAATGTTCATTGTTCACTGAATATATGTATTTCAGGCGTTAACGGTTATAGTTTTTTTCAAGTATATAATAAATTTCTTCGCTGATGAATATACTATGTATATTTATATATTCTCTATATTTCGCAGGCGACGGCTGGACCAAAATTCTCATGGGTTTCCGGCGGGGGTGATGTGGGTTAACTAAGATTTGACATTTTTAAGATTATACTGACAAGGCCGGGCATTTCAGCTAAAATCATGATTTAATAGCAAGCACGGGTGAACGGCGGGAGTTACTACGACTATGAATAATATTATAAACCTAGGCAACGCCTAACACTCCAGTTTGTTGTTATTACTTTAATAATAATAATAATAATAATAATCATGTTTAGATGAAGTATATTCAACCCTCCTCTAGTTCTAATAGTAAATGGGAATACAGTAAACTCCTGAGTAAACTTTATATAGACATGAACACATGGCTCCAGGTAAACATTTTATCTTCATTGGATTGATTGATTGATTGATCTTAATTGATCTATTGCTTTATTTAGCCACATATATTTTATTTCTCAACTAATTATATTTATTTTTAAAGATTGAATACTTTGTAAAATAATGAATTAACCGACTAAATTTATTTTTCAAATGACTTTTAAAATAGAAAATGAACATTGGTTTTTCTAGATTGAGTTTTATATCGGAGAGCGCCCACCCCCTGGGTTGATAATACGAGCTCTACCTGTGTTCTGTGAACCTGCTCATATCAGGGAACCGGTTAGAAGGTAAATATATACAAAATTGAAAAATCAGTCTGCCATGTTGAAAATCTTACTTTTTGTTAGTTTTGTATTTTTAGGGGTTTATTTAGGAATATAAATGATTTTAAAGGAAAATGAATAAATTTTGGGTGTCCAATCCCCCCCCCCCTCCCCCCATCACAAGCATCGTAAATCAACCCGGAGGGGGGTGGGGGGTGTAGTTCTTGAACGTATACACAGGTGTATCCAAACTTTGGAACCTCACTTTGGCACCCTAGGAAAAGTTTTATGGACCATTAGACGTTAAGAATAGTTTTCAGCAGAGCTGTTTACCTTGATTTTCATGGGAAAATGCTAAAAGACAAATTTCCTTGTGCAACATACAATTATTATTGGATAAGAAAATTATCCATCAGATTAACTGTTTTTACCATTCTTAATAGTACTTGTGGTTTTAATGATACCTGACTTTTAACTTGACTCTTGGTTGGCACTCCACTTTATTTCACTCTTGCATTTGTCAGTGACGCCCTGTCAGGCTGTCACTCTTTGGAGTGATGAGAGTTGATAAGAGCTTGGCCTCGAGTGAAGGTTGATTATTTATTTATTTATTTAATTAATATTCAGGTGTCCGGCGCATCGATCTCTAGAGGACCCGGTAAACGTAGGGTTTGAGCATTCTCTAGATCATATAATTAGGTAGGTTGGGGTTAATTAGATTAAACTTGAAAATATTTTATGAATAAGTTAAACTTGCTTTTTGTGCTTTTTTCGTCATTTCTATCCCCCCNCATAATGATACCCTTTATTGTATTTTTCATTAAATATGTGGTTACTGGTTACAATGTGAGAGTGGTACATTTTTTTGACTAAGCCAAGCTAGCGGGGTAAGTCATATGGGCCTATGATAGGCCAGGAACTGTAAAAAGTCTGGCCGGTACTCGCCGCGCCTCACTCATGTTGGTGCAAGGGTTCGGTTCGGTTCCAGATCAAATTTACCCTATTAAACTGTAAATCTTGTTTAGGATACAAGGAGAGGATGATATAATGTATGACGAGGATGCTACCTCGAAGAGGCTCTCTACCTACTTCCCTACTGGACAGCCTCATAAGGTAGAACCCGGAAAATTGTATCATGGATCAAATTTGTGATATTTATAACCAGAGTATTGATTTCTCAACCCCAAATTGATATTTCCGCGAAATATTCAAGAAGGACAATTATAAACTAAAAGCAAATAATTAATAAAGATCGGTTTGTAAAACACAGAAGATGACAGGGACTTGAACGCCGTTTTATAGAAAGGATGTCTCAAGCAATGTAATGATATGATTTGAGGGTGTGCTTCTAATCCCATTAACTTATCACTTAAACAAAAGCACCCGATTTTAATTGAATTCTAGACTTTTTCAGTGGACATTTTTTCTTTTTACATCACAGATTGGCTGTAATCATATTTTTAAGTGATCCTCTTTTAAAAAAGTGGCCTGTCCGATTTTCAAAGATACCCTCGTAAAACCTCGTCTAAGCAAAGATGACTTGGATGTCCTTTTAAGATATTGTGGGTATTGTTGTAAATCGACCCTGCTACTTTTTAATTGCGGGGTCCTTTTAAGATATTGTGGGTATTGTTGTAAATCGGCCCTGCTACTTTTTAATTGCGGGGTCCTTTTAAGATATTGTGGGTATTGTTGTAAATCGGCCCTGCTACTTTTTAATTAATAATTAATAATAAAGTTTATGTGTTCAAGGAACGGCTGTGTGTAACCAAATAATAAAGTTTGTGTGTTCAGGGAACTGTTGTGTGTAACCGAATAATAAAGTTTATGTGTTCAGGGAACTGTTGTGTGTAACCGAATAATAAAGATTATGTGTTCAGGGAACGGCTGTGTGTAACCGAATAATAAAATTCATGTGTTCAGGGAACTGTTGTGTGTAACCGAATAATAATGGTCATGTGTTCAGGGAACGGCTGTTTGTAACAGAATGATTAAGTTTATGTGCCTGGGATCCGATGTTGGAGGAATGGCACGGAAACCTATTAAAGTTATTTTTACCCTTGAACTACAGGTATCATTCTTATTATCCTTATTTTTATTATAATCTTTATATTATTCTATGTTGTCAATATTATTATTATCATTATTATGATAATTATTAAATAATTATTATTATTATTGTCATTATTGTCGTTATTATTGCCATTGTTATTGTTATTGTTATTGTTATTGTTATTGTTATTGTTATTGTTATTGTTATTGTTACTTTTATTGCTATTTTTATTGTTATTGTTATTGTTATTGTTATTGTTATTGTTATTGTTATTGTTATTGTTATTGTCATTGTTATTGTTATTGTTATTGTTATTGTTATTGTTATTGTTATTGTTATTGTTATTGTTATTGTTATTGTTATTGTTATTGTTATTGTTATTGTTATTGTTATTGTTATTGTTATTGTTATTGTTATTGTTATTGTTATTGTTATTGTTATTGTTATTGTTATTGTTATTGTTATTGTTATTGTTATTGTTATTGTTATTGTTATTGTTATTGTTATTGTTATTGTTATTGTTATTGTTATTGTTATTGTTATTGTTATTGTTATTGTTATTGTTATTGTTATTGTTATTGTTATTGTTATTGTTATTGTTATTGTTATTGTTATTGTTATTGTTATTGTTATTGTTATTGTTATTGTTATTGTTATTGTTATTGTTATTGTTATTGTTATTGTTATTGTTATTGTTATTGTTATTGTTATTGTTATTGTTATTGTTATTGTTATTGTTATTGTTATTGTTATTGTTATTGTTATTGTTATTGTTATTGTTATTGTTATTGTTATTGTTATTGTTATTGTTATTGTTATTGTTATTGTTATTGTTATTGTTATTGTTATTGTTATTGTTATTGTTATTGTTATTGTTATTGTTATTGTTATTGTTATTGTTATTGTTATTGTTATTGTTATTGTTATTGTTATTGTTATTGTTATTGTTATTGTTATTGTTATTGTTATTGTTATTGTTATTGTTATTGTTATTGTTATTGTTATTGTTATTGTTATTGTTATTGTNTATATTGTCCGTTGGCCGCTATTGCACCATGTTGAGCTGCAGGATGAATCTTGAAACCTGGCTCCCTACTAAACTATGCACCCTGAGCTAACTAGACTCAAACCTGAACCTTCATCATACATTAATGTTAATAAGAATGTTCAGTTCAGTGAGAAGTTTTGAACATCGAACTTCATATTTTCGAACATACCTAGTTCAACTTATGTACATTTTATGTACACTTTTCAGTATTTGATTTATATTGAACAGTAACTTTGTTGTCAAATTGATAAAAGGTAAAGATGTTTCTTTCAACTTATATTCCTCACTTTAAAGAGCAAATTGTTTAATCATTAGTTTTAAAAGACTTCAAATTTTGTGCAATGTAAAGCAAAAAAATTAATAGTTTGGTGTTCTACACAACCTGATAGTACCATCCTAGTATAACTGAGTGATTTTAATCTTCTAAGAAAGAAAAGATATGTCTAATCAATAATAAACAGCTCTGTGACAAGACCAAGGGAAGGAACACCATTCTTTCGTTTGCACCACGAATACGTCACAATTAAGCATTATTTCTTCTGACAACACCTTTTTTCGTCCGGGCGATGCTTCTGTGTTTTCAATTATATATTGTTATGACCTAACACACTTTTTTTCAAATTTAGGCCATAATATGATTTGATTATGTTCAAAATACATTTTGTTAAAAATAAAACGATATTTAAAATCTACAACTAAAAATTAACATAGTTTTGGTAAGGAGCATAGCAAATGGTTTTGATTTGCTCGAGGTATTATGAAATAAAATTTCCATAAATTGTTCATGCCTATTGTACCTTCAGAAGATGTTCCTCTTTAAAAAAAAAACAGAACAAATTATTTTAAACCATTAAATACAAAATGATGTGGCTCAAAAGTCTAATAAAATAATGTAACGTACTTTGAAAACGAATATAAACAATGCCGGACGAAAAAAGAGCTGTGGTCGGAAGAAATTATGGTGAATTGTGACGTCGTTTGTGGTCGAACAATAAATGTTTGGTTTGCCTTCCCTCCTTCGTGACGAATTAATAAGATATTAGAATGATATCAATGATAGTAACATTAGTAATTAATATTGATGATAACTTGCAGACGTACATTCCCGTTGTTGAATTCCACATCTTCCATGTTACATATTATGGGGGGGGGGGGGGTATAATTTCTTTTTGAACTTGCATCAAATACGTGTGACGGTTTTTATTATATATTTTATCAAATAATCTTTGTTTGCATGTCCGATCATAACTCATACACGTCTTGATTTGATCGGGGAACAACAGGAATGTTTAAATCTTGTTGAAAAGTAAAAGTTGAAAAGCAATTTTAGATGCTGCAGCTGTTATCATGGTTCGGTTTTTACAAACGTATAATTTTAAAGTTTACGAATATTTCTAATGAATAGACACCAATAAATGAAAAATAAAATAAAATTAATGATAACGATATCATCAATAATTATGATACTCCAGGTTTGCTCGTGAAGTAGAGCCTCCCATCCTCTATCCTCGGCCTAGCCTCCATCCTCCCCCAGGGAAAAGATTGAAGATGATTAAACGAGAAACTGCCACAGTTGTCATGGTCCCAGTACGTTAGTTTTACTAATACATAATGTACTGATTTGCATTTTACCTTTGTGTATTGTACTTTGCCTTTTTTACTTTTGTGAATTGTACTGTTGTGTATTACATTGTTGTGTTTTGTACTGTTGTGAATTGTACTTGTATGTATTATACTTTATGTATTGTACTTTACCTTAATATTGAAAGCTTCAGTCCAGTTACTGATTCCTTACCTTGGATTAACTGTACTGAACTGCATTTTTACCAAATTGTACTGCCATTGTACCATATCGTTGTGCTACTGTACTGTTAAGTTCAAAAGACATTGTACTCGTAGAGCTTGTGGTTTGGAATAGTGTGCTGCTTTACTACTACTGTTGCCAATGTTCTGAAATGTAGCTATGGTCTTATTTTATGAGGGGACTGTACTTTACTGTTTACTGAAAAGTGTTTTCTGTTATTTACAGTACAGTGTACTGTTAACTGTTCCGAGCACTGTGATTATTGCACAGTGTACAGTACTTTACTCAATAATGTTCACTGGACCCGTGTACTGTAGTTAACTGTATAATGTTACTTGAGTACACTACACAGTAGAAGCGTTTACTTTAATTCTAACTGTTCAGGTGCATGCTGAGGACTACTCTAAACTAAACGAGTTTGCTGAGGCTGCCTGGATAGTGAGAGATCCAGGGAATGCGGATATAATTCGACAGCGTCGATCAGATCTCTTAAGGACGGTAGGAAGTTAGTTAATAGTTAATTATATTCTGTAGATAATTGTAAAAAGAAAAACAAAGCTGGATTGTTGTAAATGTTGATTGCTCGAAAGTCTGATATTCTGTTGAACGGTTGGAAGATTTTTAATTTGACAGGTGCTAGGTGGATATTTTGATGGCTGGGTTGTTAATTTGATGGTTGGATAGTTAGTTAGATAGGTAGTTAGACAGTTAGTTAGATAGGTAGTTAGGCAGTTAGTTAGACAGTTAGTTAGATAGTTAGTTAGATAGTTAGTTAGATAGTTAGTTAGATAGTTAGTTAGATAGTTAGTTGGATAATTAGTTTGATAGTTAGTTTGATAGTTAGTTTGATAGTTTTTTTGATAGTTAGTTAGATAGAAAGTTAGTAGGATAGTTAGTTTAATAGTTCGGTTGATAGTTAGTTTGATAATTACTGTGATAGTTGAATAATTAGTTTGTTAGGTGGATAGCTAGTTTGACAAGTGTAAAATTGAATAGCTAGTTGTGTAGTTTTTTTGACAGTTGGAAATATAGTTCTTTATTTTGGTATTTGGATAGTTGAATGGTCAGGATAGTTTTGGATAGTTCTGTACAGATTAGACCGTTTTGGACAGATTTGTACAGCTATGAACCGTTTAGGTTTGAAGAGTCAATTTTGGATTTAGTTTTTGTGGAGAATATGTTCATTGTAACCTAATACTGTTTTTTTTCTTCAGCACAACAAGGGGTTGATAAGAGAACTGGAGAAGAAGAAGCAGAATTGAAGTGTACACCACTTTGGCTGAATTTTTTGCTCAAGGCATTTTTTTAATTTTTTGAAATATCAGTTCCGTTCCTTGTTTACTTTACTTGTTTCCGATTTAGTACAGGTTCGCCTATTTGTCCTTCTGTACTTATATTGTGATTTTGATTTACTCATGTACCTTGCTGTTAAGTGTACATTGTACACCGTGTAAATTCTACAGATGTTTGTGAAAACGAGAAATTCTATTGTACGTGAAATAAATACTCGTTAATAATTTGTTAGATCGAGTCTAATCCCAATTATTAATTATTACGTTAGCCTTTATTGCTTGTCACCAGCAACATATGGAGTTTATTGAGAGCATATACTCCAAACCATACTAGTGTTAAAATTAATTCGAAATATAAGGAAGACGATTTTTCCGACTCAAATTGCCGTAGCCTTTTCTCTAGATGTTTGCGTACTCTAGAGTTGTGGGTAGAAACGTTGTTGATGTGAGAATCTGCAGTTGTCCTAAGAGAGATTTAAACCAGGAGGAGGCTAAGTTTATTAGAACTAGGGAGAAAACCAGGGAACTTGCTGACAAGTAAGTGATATTCATGTAATGAAGGGGTATATATATAATTTCAGGAATGAATGATGTTTGATGATTTTGATAATTTTTCCTTTACAAATTATTTAATTTCCCCAATATCCTTCCCTGTAAGATTTTCAATCTTTGTTATTATTTTGATAAAAGTAGCTGTAAGACGTCGCAGTTAATTTTGTAATAAAACTCTGTCCTCCTATTTTAACCCTATTTATCCTGACGTCTAGTTTCATGACTGGTTCCCGATGGGGGGGGGGGGGCAAATTGACCCTTCCCCTCTTTTTCTTATCGTAATTACAAATCTATAACATTTGATTCATTTTTGGAAAGCCCTTGAGCTCTACTTCAATAATCTGCAAAAAATGGCAAATTTTCAAAAATCGAAATTTTTATTGCACAATCTAGTTACAAAGCAAAAATGCGTTAAAAGAAAATTGCGCAAATTACAACAAATTATACATTTTTGAAAAGCCCTTGACCCAGCAAATTCAAATGTGCAAACACTTTTGCAACAATTTTAAAACAAGATAAACTAAAAAATTTGAGCTTCCTAGCTCAAATACTTCTGAGTTATCATCCTTCCATTATCCTGTATACAGGATAAGTCCGCAATCTCTCTCCCTTAGACTAAACCTAGTTGTGAGTAAGCCTGCCGTCAAGATTGATGATCTGCACCACCATCATGAAGTTCTACAAACACCTCCAATTGATATTCGTCTATAGTTTCTTTATTAATTTCTAAACCAACCAATTTTAATGCCACTTGGGAAAATATTTCAAAACATCCGTTTTATTAAATAAATGTTAGAAATATCCATGTAGATCTCCTTTTATTTTATCATATTGACTTTTAAAGTCAACAACTAGATTTAATGAGATATACTGCCCGCTATATTAGATTTATTAAGAGCATATACTGCCCACCATACTAGATTTATTAAGAAGATATGCTGCCCGGTATATTATATTCATTAAGAGAGCATATACTTACCACCATACCAGATTTATTGAGAAGATACACTGCCCGCTATATTGGAATTATTGAGAGCATATACTCCACACCATACTAGATTTATCCGGATCCCCATCAAAATGAAATGGATCCTACGCACTGTCCCCACCATATTGAATTACTTCATAGGGTGAACACTAAACACCTATGTTCTGTTGCTCTGCACATTGACCGCTAAATAGTTTTATTGAATTAATGCCTGGCGCTCCTTGGTAGAAGTTTACCGGCGCAGCTGCTAGATTGGCAGGTAAACCGACCAGCCAAATGCAAATGCTGTACTGGGATACGACAGCTTCTTATAATATTCTGATTGATGGAATATTAGCCTCTCTTTTCTATGCCTATGATAGATCAGGGATAAAACCGTGATTAATGACATTTTATCTCGACACTTTAGTTTTGATGTTTCAAACCAAAATGTTTTAGACGGATTTAATTATGATTAAATAGCTGAAATTATTGACAATATATTTAAAAACTTACAAAGTTTCTTAATGTTTTCGACTGTACATTAATTCTATATTTGTACGTTATATATCTCATTAATAAATAGTAAACTGTCCAGTTGCTGCCCGCAAAAGTAAATTCATTGAGAACACATACTAGCCAGTATAGCCGCCATATTGGATTTATTCAGAACAGGTGCTTCCCGCCATATTGTATTTATTGAGAACATATATTGCCCACCATATTAGATTTATTGAGAACACATACTAGCTAGTAGCCGCCAATTTGGATTTATTGAGAACAGGTGCTTCCCGCCATATTGGATTTGATCCAATTCAGCTGACTTGTGACACGTGCATATACTCCTGGATATCCCGCCTGAAAAAAGTTAGATTTCATAAACTAGAATATTCACAACGGAACCTTTTAAACGTCGTAAAGTCAAACGAATAACGGTCAAAAACGCGACAAAGAGTAAAACGACAAAGTTCTGATGAACATAAAAATAGTTTGAAATTAATCAAAATAGACTAAATGAAATTTTGCCCGTCTGTCACACTTTAGACCCTTTGTCGTCTTATCGATCCTTTGGTCGTTTGACCCTATGGCATTTGACCTTAGGTCGTTTGACCCAATGACGGTGAATTGGTTCCATCTTATTAGCTACAATACAAATGTATATGGAAAAGTCATGGTTTATCTATGATTTTTAAAATCTCCGATCTAGAAATTAATTTAGACCCCTTTATGTAACCTGTGCACATCCATATCCCCAAGAAACAACACCTGAAAAAATGAAAATATAAATTTTTTAAAAAATTATAAATTTATTATATTATATTTATATCGGAATACTTTTAATTGACTGAAAGCATATTTTCAAGTGACCCATGAAAAGGTAAGGGTACCCACGAACCCTATCCTATTGATAATGTGGAAGATATTGTCGTTTTAGGCTTAAAGGTGTTTAGTTCTGATTGCACCAGAAATGTGCAAGTTACTTTTTCAAAAACACTTCAAAATGTATCAGTTTTCAAATTTATAAACATTGATCTCTAATAATTATTGGTCAGACAAAGATTTTAAGAGTACAAACTTAACCAGTGCTTAGGATCCATTTAGTTTTGATGCGGATCCGCACTGGAAAAAAATGGATACGGATCCAAATCTGGATCTGGATTCAGGTCATTTCTTTAAAATTTACTGAATTTTTTAAATTTTTTGTTTTATTTTTTTCGCATAATTTTATCCTAAAACTTGAAATTTTATAATCTCTTAATTATTTCAAAATTTCAGAATTGGGTTTTAGGAGTAAGAGTTCTTTTTTGCAGTTTTTGGTTGATAGTTTACCACTTGGATCCGGATCCGTGAATCCGCATATTCTTGCAGATCCGGATCCAAGAAGCCAGAACTTGTCGGACCCAACGAATCCGGATCTGGATCCTAAGCACTGAATTTAACTAAAAATAAAATATTACCGATCAAGGTGTAAACACCAGTACTTCCTTTCGATGACATTGGACCTATAAAAAAAGAAATTTTTATCTTCAGGGAATTTTTGTATTGTATCGATCTCGATCTTTTGTTAATCTGCAGATTAATTTAATCTGTATTTGATATCCCACACGGCAATTGTTCCAGTCAGATGTTGAAGGGAGTTTTGATTTTTTGAATTTTATCAGTGGAGAAACAATTAAAATAAAAAGACGGAAAGGTATTTTTTTAAACCTAATATTAAAAGTCTCCAAAACGAATATCCAGATCAAGTGATCAAAACTCAAAAGTTTTCAGTTCAGAATATTATTTTTCAATTTGCCTAAAAAATTTCATATATTTACCGCCTGAGTCTCCCTGGCAAGAATCGACATTTGGGTTTGCCGCGCATATCATTCTACTAGTCAGCTGACTGCATGAGTATTTGTTTCTGGATCCACAACATTCGCCATTGCTCATTGTCCTGACCTGATATTTGATCATCAACAATTTTTTTGTATTCATTTCTTAAGTCATTATAGTCAGAAAACTCTTATTCTTTAAATTTATCAATTAAAATGATTATTTGATAGATTCTTTGAAATTACAGGGAATAAATCAAATGCATAATTTCAAAACAGATTGAAATAGCCAAAAGAAATTCTCACAATTAGTTAATATATTTCCAATTGTCATACCAAAAAAAATTAAAATAAAAACTTTTTTTTGGTAGTTCTATGCCATAATTTCCAAAAGAATGCTGTTGTAACGTATTTGAATTGTTGCCCTGAGTTTGAGTTTGTAGCAAATCTTAATTCCTTTTGGCATTTCAAAAAATAACTACTTCTTCCCCTGGTGATGGTGGAAGGAGTAACATCTATAACCCCTGGTGGTGGTGGAAGGAATTACATCTACCCCTGGTGGTGGCGGATGAAATTATAACTACCCTCGGTGGTGGCGGAAGGGATTTTATCTACCCCTGGTGGTGGCGGACGGATTTATATTTACCCCTAGTGGTGGCGCAAGAAACTGTTTTGTATACCTGTGCCTCCATGAGAAACCTTGAAAGGTATCCTCCAGAGCTAGTTGTTCCCCAACCAGAGATTGTCGCAGCAATATTTTCATATTCTCTTCCTGTGTATTTTTAAACAATAATTAACTTTAATCAGACGCAAAAGATGACCTAAAATCAACCTCCTATAAAATCAAGTGACCTTTACTGCATGGGGGCCTGGTGTGGTTAATATCCCCCCCCCCCCCCACATAGAATGTAAGTAATTTCTTGCCCCTTCCCTAAAATATGGTTATTTTTAAAGGCAACTTTTTTAACAGAATTCATAAATGAAAATAAAAGTACCTCGTCCAGTTCCTTCAGGTAGGCAAACAGGCAATATTCCCTTTGTTCAACATTTTGGATTAACTCAATAAAAAGTATAAACAAATAACAAATATTCAAGGCAGTGCTATTTTTTTATAATATCAAATGTTAAAATTGTAAGGTTCAAAACAAATGTTGTTGGTTGTTTTTTCTAATGGAGAAATATGACTTAGTTTTGTTTTGGGTTTCCGTTTTTGAACATGAAGAATCTGATATGGTTGGTTTCTGTTTTGTTTGGGTTTCTGTTTTTGAACATGAAGAATCTGATATGGTTGGTTTCTGTTTTTGAACATGAAGAATCTGAAATGTTTGGTTTCTGTTTTGTTTGGGTTTCTGTTTTTGAACATGAAGAATCTGAAATGTTTGGTTTCTGTTTTGTTTGGGTTTCTGTTTTTGAACATGAAGAATCTAATATGGTTGGTTTCAGTTTTGTTTGGGTTTCTGTTTTTGAACATGAAGAATCTGATATGGTTGGTTTCTGTTTTTGAACATGAAGAATCTGATATGGTGGGTTTCACTTTTTGGACATGAAAAATCTGATATGGTTGGTTTCTGTTTTGTTTGGGTTTCTGTTTTTAAACATGGAGAATCTGATATGGTTGGTTTCTGTTTTTGAACATGAAGAATCTGATATGGTTGGTTTCTGTTTTTGATCATGAAGAATCTGATATGGTTGGTTTCTGTTTTTGAACATGAAGAATCTGATATGGTTGGTTTCTGTTTTGTTTGGGTTTCTGTTTTTGAACATGAAGAATCTGATATAGTTGGTTTCTGTTTTGTTTGGGTTTCTTTTTTTGAACATAAAGAATCTGATATGGTTATTACATTTCAAAGTTTCATTGTTCAAAAGTTTACTTTCAAATACTAATGACAGAAACCCGGAAAAGTTATTATAGAAAAAAGTTGTTAAATGAAGAATTTACAACGTAATCTTAGATTCAAAAGAGATCATTTAACATGACAATAAAAAAGTCTGTAATTAATTTAGTTTAGTTGGTATAAAATAAGTTACATGAGTGTCGGGACAAGGAAAATCGTTAAATTTGCGCAGTTTTTTTTTTAATTCTAAAAAATCATAAGTAGAAATCAATCCTACCTTCGAAACTGTGACAGGATCACAGAGTCTGAGAATAGAAAAATCAAAATCCTGGTTACTGCTCTGGTACCGAGGATGCTCAACCTTTCCACAAACTCGAACAACAGTTTGTCCATCGTTGTCATTCAGAAGATCATTTTCACCCAGCTGCAACCAAAACAAATAATTAGGTTATTAAAGGAACTTTAAAGGGAGTTTTCGCGAAACATTAAAGGGGGTATAGAAGTAACATTAGTAGCGATCAAAAGCGCTTTTTTACCGCATTAAACCTATACCCCCTTTCATTTTTTGCGAACACTCCCTTTCAGCATAATTTCATGTAACGCTCCATGCTAAAAGCTTTGTCTGATCAAGTATGAATTAGATATAAATGTTTATAGTTTTAAAAACTGGTTATTTCTACAAAAGTGACCTGAGCATTTCTACTGCAGGAAAACATATCGGAAATATTATAATTATACACTTTTAAACATCAATATTTTCCACAATATTGATCAGATAAAGGGTTCTAGGGTATGTATTAATAGGGAATGTCCTCTTCAATTGGAATGTCACTAACGTTAGAGTCACACTCACTGTCCCTTTAAATCATAAAATCTAAGACACATTCTTTTATAAATATACAAATACAGAAAACAACAAAAAGGATCAAAATTTTTATTTAAAAAATTTAAACGAAAGGAACTAGATTTCTTATAACCCTTTAAACTATACAAAATAGACTTTTGATATTTAAGAAAATATGATACTCAAGGAGATCTGTTCTTTTCTTTTGGGACGTAACTTAACATAATTTACGTTATTTTACGTAATTCGGTTAGTTTGTGTTAATACTAAGCACTAACCATTACAAATATTCCTGTGGATGAAGTACCCATAGTACAGTGGGCAGCTGTCAGTACATCCTTAACAATAGGATATATTCAGGAACAATTCTCTTAAAACTTGAATACATTTAGGGACAATTTAACCTTATCACAAGGTCTGCATTAACAGATTACAGAAAATTTAACATTAATTTAAATAATAAAGTAGTAGTATCTACATGGACAATTTTTCAGACAGTTCTTTTACAAAACATACATGTATAATATTTAGCATTTATGTCAGCAATGACTTGATTTTCATGCACATACATTTATTTAAGAAAAATTTTTTAAAACACAAATTGCATTTTATGATCATTAACGTTCTGTATGTTTTTTCTTTTCTTTTTGAACTAGAATATCTTGTCACGACTCACGGGTCATTAAATTTTGAAGTATAAAGAATTTTTTTGTTTTAATTCATGTCCATTAGGATTACCCAAAAAGGACGAAGCTATGATGACGACCCAAAACTCACTTTATTTAATGGTTTAAAGGTTGAACTAGGTCTTGACTTTGCCTTCGTTAATGATAATGTATTTACAAAATAATAAAAAAAAAACACAGTTCCAGGGAATTTAGAAAAAAAATGAAAAAATTTCGTACACGGTCTGAAGTCTCAATCTTTCCGGGTGACCTTGTAGAAAGCGTTGATAAAATTCTGAATATTTGGCATATTTGAACCCACCTGATTGCTGATAAGTGATCCTCCACAATAAGGTATTTTTCCAGTACTTGTCCGGACCAATCCAATCTATAATTTGGAAACATTTCAGGATTTAATCTCATTAAACAACAGTAATATTCAAATAACAAAGCATATTTTTAATTCACAGTTTCTCATTGTTTACATGATAATTTGTCTGTACGAATGCTTGGTAGAAATAACAGCTTACTTCTGAAAGTCGTCTTCATTGTATTGATATGAACACCGACCATTGAATGTTAACCAATTTTTTTTATTAAATCAGAATGCAACCAGGTTTTTTATGTAGGGCTCTTTTATGATACTTTTTTTAATCTACATGAAGAAACAAAATTTATTCGCAAGTTGTTTGTGGATATTAACCACCATTTTTCTCGTTCATTTTCTAAAACTTTCCTTTAATTACATAGACACCACCTCTATATCTGCCAAAGATATTTGTTCTGTCCTCTAGGACTCCCACTAGACCCTACCTGCTAAGTATATTCTACCCTGTAGAACACCCACTAGACCATACCTGTCAAGTATATTCTACCCTGTAGAACACCCACTAGACCATACCTGTCAAGTATATTCTACCCTGTAGGACTCCCACTAGACCCTACCTGTCAAGTATATTCTACCCTGTAGGACTCCCACTAGACCCTACATGCTAAGTATATTCTACCCTGTAGGACTCCCACTAGACCCTAACTGCCAAGAATATTTATTTTGCCCTGTAGGACTCCCACTAGACCCTACCTGTCAAGTATATTCTACCCTGTAGGACTCCCACTAGACCCTACCTGCTAAGTATGTTCTACCCTGCAGGACTCCCACTAGACCCTAACTGCCAAGGATATTTATTTTGCCCTATAGGACTCCCACTACATCCTACCTCCCAAGTATATTCTACCCTGTAGGACTCCCACTAGACCCTACCTGCCAAGTATGTTCTACCCTGCAGGACTCCCACTAGACCCTACCTGCCAAGGATATTTATTTTGCCCTGTAGGACTCCCACCGACGATCCGAGAGGAGTAGTTTCTAACTCCACACTAAGCAAAAATATTTGATTACATTTTTAATTTCATCTTTAAACATTGATATTATTGACTAATTTTAGTAAACGGCTCATTCGCGTTTAGGATCTGTAATTTCAGGTGGCCTTCCATTTAAAGCGGGTCCGCTCTATTCTCAGTGGTACCCTTTAAATGCAGGTCAGACAAAGCTTTTAAGAGAACGCTTGTAAATTGGACAAGTCACTCTAGATGGAGAGTCACCTGAAGTTATGTGTACAGTCCCATTAATGAAACCCTGAAACCTTCTAAACTCTAGAGAGAGGTAAAGAAACCCTTTTTTCTTTGTTTTGAATATTTTCAAATATATCTGTTCCTTGCAATTCAATTGTGCTCTTGTTGTCTCTACTTGGCGGTCCTAAAAATAACATTTAGATGGATATTCTGGTTTTTATTGAATCACAGTAGATTTACAATCTAATACATATATATTTGTAAAAGTTTATGTCAATACAATGAAGACGACTTTTGGATTTCTAACAAGCTTTTTTAAAAATTGTCAGCTTTTCTTTAAGTCCGAATTTATGGGAATCCATACTGCTTAAAAGATTGGTAGAAACCAAAAAATTGAAATCGAAAGTCGTCTTCATTGTATTGATATATACGACGACGATTGTATATGTATTTTTGAATGATTTAATCTACCCATTGAAATGTGGATTAGAAAGACGACATCAAAGAAATATTATTTGATGTTGCATAAATAATTTTATCAGTTGCTTAACATTCAACTTCTTAAGAGAAATAGGTCTGTGTTCATAAATTGCTGAATTTCGTGTTAATTGGACTATTAAACATCATAATGTAAGTCTAACAGTCGTTTTCCTACACCACAGGTTTAAGGATACTATAATTGTTTGATGATCACTATGGATAAATGATCTATTTCCCCTTCAATTACTAGCTTAGAAATATTATCTAATTTTAAAATTCTATCACTTTAGTAAAATCGAATGAGAAATTTCACCTTTATTTCGGTGATTTCGGTAGAGCATTCGGAACTTTCAGCTGATTGATTACAATCAACCTAGATTACAGGATGTCCCAATAAACATAGGAATTCAGTGACGAATTCGATATCGTCTTTTTAAATAATTCTTTGATTTAGTTTAGTGATACCTACTGAGAAAGCTGTAATCTGTAAGAGTTTCGTCTGCTAGGTTCACATTTTGTTTGTTTACGTTTTGACTGCATAAGGGTGTACTTAGTAAAATAAGAAAATTGCAGTATACAAACAGAGTAAACTTGTCCGTCTTCACTGCCGTCTTGCGGAGACATTATAGACACACTTTATATTCTTTTACCCTTTTCATAAAATAAACTCTAGCAGACATAATAATATTATGGCTTTTGAAAGTAGGTATTAAAATGCTAATTCATAACAAAGACGATTATCCAATTCGTCACTGAATTCCCATGTTTTTTGGGACACCCTATTAATAAACTAGAATCAATCATAAGAATAAAACGTTTTATTAAATAAAATGTGTCTAAACTTATTATAAAAACTTCATTGAGCTGATGTATAGTTTTTAATAATTTGTGCAGGTTATTTGTATGATTTAAAGGTATTAAAAGCGTAATTTCAAGTAACCCACCTTGCAAAAATGGCAATGTCCGATTTACACAGTACTCATAAAAGCTTTTTCTGGTCCAGTATGAGCTTTGTTTCTTTAAACTGTTTATTTTCAATGCCAGTTTCTCTGCGAAAGTAATTTGCGCATTTCTTACTTAAAAGAAGAAATGAAGAAATGATCTAAATTAAACAGTTTTCAAGTCAGAAAACGACGGAATCCTCCACATTTTTGATCAGATTAAGGATTCAAGGGTACCGTTGTAAATCGGAAATTACCATCTGTGCATGGAGCTGGTCCCTTGAATTTACACTTACATGCCTTTTAATTGTTTAACAAATTATAACTCAACAAACTGGTTACCTTGATCAACAAACTGGTTACCTTGATCAACAAACTGATTACCTTGATCAACAAACTGGTTACCTTAATCAACAAGCTGGTTACCTTGATCAACAAACTGGTTACCTTGATCAACAAACTGGTTACCTTGATCAACAAACTGGTTACCTTGATCAACAAACTAATTACCTTGATCAACAAACTGGTTACCTTGATCGATCCATTTGAACCGGTAGTAACGAAAACAGTGATGAAACTCAGCTAAATAATAATAACAAATATCAACATTTATATATATATATATATATATTTATATATTATATATTTATAGATATATTAATAGATAAATTTATAAATATATTTATAAATTTATAGAATGTCAGAACTTTTGTATTATGCAGGGGTTGAGAGATCAAGAATTTATTCTCAAATTTTAAAAGCGTCCACATTGGATATCTGAATCAAGATTAACGACACCCCAAACAATTGAATGTTTATCAATAAATTAAAAAGAACAATGTCAAATTATTCTTGTCTCTAATATTGACACCATTTACTGTAATATTATAATTCTAAGAATATAGCAGTTCTTAAATCTTATCTTTTCATGTGTCTTCAACAAAAGTATTTTTTTATGTTTCTCAATGGACAAGTTAGCATTAAATGAGCCTTTAAAAGAATTATGAATCGAATCCACCTAAGCTTCTATTTCCAGCTTCAATCTGGAAAAAAACGCAGGAGCACAGTCCAAGAGAAGATGATCGAGTAACTGGAAGATAGAAAAAAAAAAATTCCGAATATTTGTTCGGCTTTTTCAAATTAAACTCTAGATAATCTAAAAACTAAACTGTGATAATCCGTGTAAAAAAAATGGTAAACGTGACGCCGCTTAAAATATTCAAAAATTTTAACAAAAGTATAAATAGGTTAAATAAGGTTATTTATTTAAACTCACACAATTCATTTGCTTTCCAGGTTTTCTTTTAACTATTTACAAATATTTTACAGGACAGGAATTTTACTGTACAAGGGTTTCCAAGACCAATTTTGCCTACCAAACGGACTGCAGTGTGCAAAAATGGTCGATGGAACCCGTGCGTGGTTAAGAAAAAAAACAAACAACAAACACTACGAACATATATATAGCTGAACAAACTCTTTAATTGGTGTCTACCACTCCTACCACACTATCTATAAATACATAAACATACACAGGGACTGATTCGACTGATATTGTAAATTCAAATGACCCTTCCTGCAAAGATGGCAATGCCCGATTCACCCTTAAAGGGACAGAGCAGCTATAAAAGATAGTTGAAATGAAAATGCAGTGTTGTGGACAAATCCTTTAGGATTCATTTGAGACATATTAAACTTTTCAAAGATTTTTAAATCCTGAGTTTGAGCGAAATTCGACGTTCAAAACTCCTACTTTGGGGGTGGATACGTTTTCAGAATCGGTTTTTTTTTAAATTATTAAATAACGACGACGAAAAATAAAATAAAAATTATACAGTAATCTAATTAGATGGCTAGGAACATATTTCTCAAAAGAAATTTGCCAATAAATCAATGCTAGAATCAATAATTTCGTTTTCATCATTTTATTGAATTTCTTATTTTCTTGGAATTTATTTGCAGATTTCTTCAAATTCTTCAAATGTCATCTTTTCAATAATTATTCCAGAAAATTATTGAATAATGAGAAGATAGAAACTAATTCTGAAAACGTATCCACCCCAAAAGTAGCAGTTTTGAACGTAGAATTTTCGCTTAAATTCAGGATTTACAGATGTTTAAAAAGTTTTGTATGTTTCAAATGAATCCTAAAGAAGCTTTCCACAACACGGCATACTCAGTTCAACTACCTTATATAGCCGGTCTGTATATTTAAAAACTTTATCTGATTTCCTGTTTAAGCTCGATTGCAGGGTTTTTTTTTCTACAAAAGTGACATTCAGAATTAAACAATTTCAGGCCTCGAAAAACGACGTTATCTTCCACAATTTTGGTCAGATAAAGTTTCAATGGTACCTTTGTGAATAAACCATTGCTATCTTAATTAGCTAGAGGGTCAGATGCAATTACGCTTACAGTCCCTTTAATTAACTTACAATTAAAAGATTGTACTCCAGCATATCTGAGAACACACTAACAACTGCAACATTAACCTGTGTCTCAAACAAAAAAGTCTGCTTTTAATTCAGTATTTTTATGACTAACGACATATATTAGCATTGAATGTATGATTTACATAAAAATAAAACACAATGAGATTCCACAAATAAAAAAACTTATTTAGCTATATCTTTCTATATTAAAGGGACTGTAAACGTACTGACTCTTCATGTTGTATGCCTGATTCACAACGGTACCTTTGAAACCGTTATCTCATCGATAAGCTGGAAGATATTGTTGTTTTATAGCTTTGATTATCACAACTTCTTCCCATTGTTCATAGTAGCAAAATATTCCGCTTTTATACATTAACCGCGATCAAAAATAATCAATTCGTAGAAAGAAGAACAGGGATAACTCAGCCATTTTTGACAGAGGTTTAAAGGGTATCGTTGTGGATCAAACACTTGAACTTATATCTACACAATCCCTTTAAGTACAGTGTTTCTTCCTAAAGATTATCGGTAACAATCACGTTAAGTGATTAATAAACATGCTGTATAACAAAATTATTAAAAAAATACAACCGTTTCTCTTGATGATACATGGTGTCTCAATAAACATGGATTTAGATGAAGACTTCTTTATCGTCATTGTTCCATGCCAGACTATTGTTCCATGCCAGACTATTGTTCCATGCCAGACTATTTCGTAAACATAAATGTGTAGAATCACAGTGAAAACATTTAATAACAAAAACTACCAGTCTCGAGATTTCCAAAATGGGTTCATTTTTTTCTTCAAAATTGAAGGAGATGTCAAGAAATTTGTCCAGATTCAAGTTTATTGAATCTCAACAAAACTGTTCAAATGTTTCATTTTTGAAGAAACAAAGAAGGTAAACCACATTTTGGAAAGCTCATTAGACTTTAAATCTTTTATTGATGCACTTTATGTCATTTATCAATTATCGGAAATCAAAGACGATGTTCATGTTTACATGTTTACAAGACCTAGACCGGTCAAAGGTAAAGAGCACCGTAGTGCTTTATAAGATTTCATTATTTATTCAGAAATTCAAAAAATCAATATTTTTTTGGCACGGAGGTAACTCTCTTCTCATTATTTGAAGAATCAACACCAAGTTTCTGAAAGCAAAACACCTGATATTAATCTTTGGCATATTTAATATTTTAAAGAGTTTAAAAACTTAAGTTTTCGCAAGATAAAATACCTTGATAAACTGCAAGATAAAATACCTTGATAAACTGCAAGATATCATTTTTATATTATTACTAGCTGAAGTGCCCGGCGCTGCCCGTGGAAAAAAAAGAAATCGAATTTTAAAAAAATTAGATTTTGAAGAAAATGGCATTAAATCTTTTTAAACCTATCTTACCCCAAGGGTTCATTCAAAAATGTTAAACCAATTTGGTCTAGCTATATAGCTAACGTATATATAGGACGAACAGCTTTATATAGATTACTTTTTCAAATTGAACAGATCAATTATAAAATTTTATATGAAAAAAAATTACTGATTTTTTTTGTCACCAAGTCACAAGTTGACAACATGATAAAAACTAAACACACAAACCTTTTTTCCAGAAATTTTTCAAGGGTTTTCTAGAGAATACAATTTTAAAATTTAAAAATATCTTATTCTTAACGATATTTAAATAATCAATACAGATTAAACTTTTTAAGACTTTTTATTGTTTTACCTTGTAAACATACAAATACAATATAGATAATAGACAGGGAGATTCACATTTTAACAACTAGGAAAGTACAATATAGATAATAGACAGGGAGATTCACATTTTAACAACCAGGAAAGTACAATATAGATAATTGACAGGGAGATTCACATTTTAACAACTAGAAAAGTACAATATAGATAATAGACAGGGAGATTCACATTTTAACAACTAGGAAAGTACAATATAGATAACAGACAGGGAGATTCACATTTTAACAACTAGGAAAGTACAATATAGATAATAGACAGGGAGATTCACATTTTAACAACAAAGTACAATATAGATAACAGACAGGGAGATTCACATTTTAACAACTAGGAAAGTACAATATAGATAATAGACAGGGAGATTCACATTTTAACAACTAGGAAAGTACAATATAGATAATAGACAGGGAGATTCACAGTTTAACAACTAGGAAAGTACAATAAAGATGACAGACAGGGAGATTCACATTTAAACAACTAGGAAAGTACAATATAGATAATAGACAGAGAGATTCACATTTTAACAACTAGGAAAGTACAATAAAGATAATAGACAGGGAGATTCACATTTTAACAACTAGGAAAGTACAATATAGATAACAGACAGAAAGATTCACATTTTAAGATTTAATCTCCTGTTCAACGAAATAACCAACCTTAAATTCCCTCCATTTTTAATTCCAGGGAGGATAATTACTTATACTCCCTGTTTACAGGGAGGATAAGTAATTATCCTCCCTCTGTGATCCATACAGATTTATCAAATAAATAGTTCTCTAATTTAATTTTATATTTACATTTATCACTCTCTTAATCAATTTTGAATAAAATAGTTGAAACAAGTAAACTACACCTAGTTGAATATTTGATCTAGGAAGTTTTCACAAAAATGTTGCGAAGTTTTCACAAAAATATTGAGAAATTTAGAAACCCAATTACTATTTTTAGAAATCATTAAATTTGCTTATTAAATATTCTTCCATATGCATTAGTAAGAAATAAGAGAATTAAAATAATAATTGATAGTTTTATTGATTTCATTATTATTTTATCCCCCACGGTTGGTTATTTCGTTGAACAGGAGATTAAACGATAAATTACTACTTAACCGGGAGTTTTCATGAGGATAAATAAATTGAGGGGAACCTCCCTCGCTACGCTCGTGAGGTTTAGAACCCCAAAAAGGTCTTGGAGGCCCTCGGCTAAGTGGTTTTCCCCTCAATTTAATTATCCTCCCTTAATCTCCCGGTTAAGTAGTAATTAATAGTTATAGGAAAGTACAATATAGATAACAGACAGGATCTGGAGATTTTCAAAATGATTACCTATCATGTTTATGTTTACTTTTTACATGTCTATTCAGTGTTCCTATTGTACTTGTAGAATAGTTGCATTCTTCACAAGCATATTTAATACCTTCGTGTAGAATTCTAATATGTTCCTTAAGTTGAGTTTTTGTAGTTGCTGCATGTTCACATTCACTACAGGGATATCTTATACCCTCATGTTTACTCTCAATATGTGCCTTTAGATTTCCTTTGGAACCTCCTTTATACTCGCACAAAGTGCAAGGAAAATTAACTCCTCGATGCTTGTTGTTAATATGCCTTGATACTGTTGTTGATGAACCTCCTAGATAATCACATTCTGGACATTGATATCTAACTCCTTCATGTTTATTTTCAATATGTCGTTTTAAATGTTTTCGGGTGGTTGATAAATGACCACATTCCTTACATGGATACCTCACTCCTTTATGTTTAATGTTCACATGTTTCCTCAGCTCTCCGCGTCTAATTGAGGTAAAATTGCATTCGACACAGGGATATTTAACCCTTTCGTGCATTTCACTAACATGTACTTTTAGACTTCCAGGTGTAATGGCTGCATGATCACAATGATCACATGGATATCTTATTCCTTGATGTTTACTCTGCATATGATACTTCAAAGTGTTTTTGCATTTTGCTAAAAAATTACACTCTTCACATTGATATCTTACACCATTATGTTTCATGTTCACATGTTTCTTAAGATTTCCAGGATCATTTGAAACAAAATCACACTGTTTACACGGATATTTAACTTTCTTGTGAATGTGCTTTACATGTTTATTCAGATTCCCGGGCTCGGTTGCAGTATAATCACATTCTTCACAAGGATATCTTATTCCTTGATGTTTGCTTTCGATATGTCTTTTTAAACAACCTTTTGTAGTTGAAACATATTCACACTTATTGCAGGGATATTTTTTATAGTTTCAGATATCCCGGGATCCACTTCCACCAGGTCTTTTTCTAAATAATTAAGAAATCGGATTAGAATTGTAATATCAAATTCTTTAGTTTTCTTGGGATACATGTTTTCATTTACCCCCA